TCATCATCATCATCATCATCATCATCATCATCATCATCATCGCCATCGCCATCGCCATCATCATCGCCATCACCATCACCATCATCATATTTTATTAATCTTCTATCATCTGTTCAAACGGTCCATCGCGTCCGGCTGAAGATCGACAACAAATTTCTTGCATCCTGTGCAGCACCTGGAGGGGCACACTATATCCCGATGGGGCAGGTTTCAAGGTCTGTGTCTAGTTTTGGGACCCACTGCCCAAATCCAGGCAAGTTTCTACAGTGACAATTTTTGAATAGGGCGTAGATCATTGGATGAGCTGATCCACTTCGATATACTGCATATTAAAATACAAAACTATATGTACACAAGTTTGTAAACACATATTAATATTGGCCGATATGTGCTATGTATATAACATGGAATGATATGAACCACACAATATAATACAATATACACAGAGATGGGGACATTGTAAGAGTCATACTACACTTCTTCGACGTGACACCGGAGCGTCCGTCCGATGTTCCGAGGTTCCGATGGATTTCCCGAGCTCCAACAGCCAGTTGGAACAGGTGTTGATCAGCGAGGGGTCTTCGGCCAACTTCGCCTCGACCGTTCGCCGCGCGCAGATGGACGTGCCGCGGTTTCCCCGCGGAGCGGTCGAACTGCAGCTAAGCCTGCACTGGTGGTGTGCTGTGCCTGCAGGCGGTCTTCTCGGTGCTGCAGAAGCAATTGTTAGTGTTTCATCTGGAAATATCTTGAAGTTTTTGTTTTTTGCGGGGGAGTGGTGGAGGTGCCCAACTTTCATATTGTTGTTCTGGCATGAGAGCACACATCGATACTAGCCGTTTTAGCTTGAGGAAAACGGTGGCACATCAGCGCGGTCGGGCAGTTCTATTAGACCCCTCGCCTCGTTTCCCTCGAGGAAAATGATCACTTCTTAGGCAACAACATTAACATACCTGAATCGTCCAACATGTTTCATGATTTCTGCCTAAGATAAGGCCAATGGCCCTTTCGGACCCAAACCGCTTGGCATCGGCATGGAAGATGCCGGAGCCGGGACCGGCGACGGGTTGTGGGGGAAACCCGGGCGAGCTCTCGCACACTGGTCATTTCTGCTCAAGCCGAGCCTCTACCTGCAACCCGTCCCAGCCAGTGGAGTCACCGTTCTCTAAAAACCGACGGGTCAAACCTTCCAAGACCGACCAAACCCAACAGGTTCGGTGTTCATGTCACCGAGGTATTTTTGTTGGACACCAAACTTGGTGAACCAGGTGTCCACCTTTGTGAGATGGTTTTAGTTCCTTTGGGGGGTCTCAATAGTGGAAACAATTGCCATGTGTCAATCACAGGTGCATGGGATAAAGTTGGCCATGGCCATGATCGAAACAAGAAAACCCATGTTAAGCTGGTAGCTGGTGGCACACAAAGGACACTCAAATTCCACCTGGGCCCAGCTACAACGTTGCCAGGGAGTCTTCAACAAACCTGATCTCCCTCCTCTGTCCCGGCTGGTCTGGAGAAAATTGCAAAAACCTGGCAGGGAGGCGCTTCAGTTGAACCGGCACTGAGGAAGCCGAGGAACATAGCCTTGTGACTCGCACCAGCAGTTGAGAATGTCACCTCCTTGACCCACTGCATAGTCCTTGGTCCAATTGGCAGCCACATTCACCTGAGACTGGCCGTTGGTCCGCCGAACCTGAACCCAACCCTGGGGCTCCAACTACTACCTCCTCAGGTCCAGTATCTGAGGGTGTGGTTGGAGCCCTCAGTATAAAAGGGCAAATGATTCAATACGCTGGTTCCACAACCTTGAAAACACCCCTACCGCCCCTACACCATTCCAGTTTCTGTAAAACATGCAGTTACGAATACGTGTGCTTGGGACAGTCACTAGGTACCGGTACCTCGGAGAAGCTTTCACCCATCTCGCGGGCGCGGGTGCTTTCACCAATGTTGTATGTAGGTGTTTTTGCGGCTTTGCGGGCTTTTGTGGTAGCTATACAGTTATACAGTCTACAGAAAACACTCACAAAAACCCACGGTCTTCACTGTTCATGCCCTCGCAACGAAACAAAGAGCCGATTCTACGGGAAATGGCTGTCCAAGCCTTTGCCCATGATAAAAAACGGTGAGGAAATGCTTCGCGTAGCGTTCCGGCAAGAGCACCTTCTATATATAACATGTAGCGCAGCGTTCCGGCAAGAAAACACCACTCAGTTGTCTGCAGAATCTGCGCCACCTCACCCTGCTCCTACTGCACCCATTCGGTCAATTGGACATCAAAACATACCTGGACCTTCAAGGGGTGTCCTGGCTGGAGGTCCCGGATAGTAGTGGGCTGGGGCTTCCAGCCAGGTGACCCCTTCGAAGGTGCTGGTATTTATATAACATCCATTCTGGGCGTCCCGCAAAGCAAATGTACTTCTCCTCCTCTCCGGAGCTGTTGCTCGGGATAATGGGATCGCACAAGGGGTGGCCAATGTAGCCTGAGCGGTTGCACTGGGTCGTCAAACCCATCGACATGAGAGACCGCGTAAGACTGGGTGAGGAGAGTCGGTCGGGAAGCCGCTCAACATCCACGCAAACTGTCCTGAAGCCAAAAGGAAAAAGGACTGGCAGGTGGTGCCACGTGACGTGGGCCACGTGAATGAACAATGAAAAATACATGAACATCATTGATTTGTCGATCCATGATGTCACGGTGTGAAGGAATCGCATATTCTTTGCAGCAAATAGAAGTATATATCCTGTCCAAGCTGAACACTTTTCTTTGGGGGGCACAACACCATACAACACCTTCTCGTGAGATCTGGATGTGAGTGATTCCCCATTCCGAACCTGCCCGCCAGGTCGCTGAGTTGGTCTCCTGCTTGTGACTTGCCCAGGACGGTGATGACATAGATCAAGACCTCTTCCGGGCGTGAGACCAGGTCTCGCCACAGCCCAGACTGCAGTCACAATTAAACTAAATATATAGATCGATATATATATATACCTGATAATCCTGATATACAATGTCTCACAATGCCATGAGACTCCCGCACGATTTTTGTCCTGGAAGAAGGAACCTAGACCTAGACCAAAACCCCTTGGGTTTGAGAGTCCCGGAGGGTCACCCTCGGCATGACAGGACACGACCTGGACTCCTGGACGCCCTCACGGCCCAAAAGCTCTCAAAGAAGCACCTGGACACCAAGAAGTGATGGTCAATTTCTTCCATTCTCATGTCGGAGTCACGTGACTCTCGGACACCGGCTGCCGGCTGTCGGATGCGTATTGACTGCAACGACTGAGGTATTTAATTATCTACTTGGGAACTACTACAGTACATACTACTATGGTAACCTCACTGATGACTGCAACCGAACCTCAACGCTCCAAACTCTGATCCAACTGACCTTGAAATCAAATGACATCCCTAGTCAATATTCTAAAAAGGGTGGCCACGTCACTTAGTGCAAAATTAGTCGTTGTTAAAACAGTGGTTGATCAAAGAGAAAAGCCATCAAATCAATCCCGAACACTCTATGTATGGAATATGTGCAGTACCGATGGCCCATGGCCTATGGCTGACGAGCCAATAGACTATGGCTACAAAATGGCAGGGAAAGGCACAGTGACCACGCGCAGTATGCATGAAATCGATACTGCAATTGTCAAAGTGAACTTGTCTCCCTTCCTTTGTCAAGCCACGTGCCCTTCCATACATCCCCACTCAGCTTTGGCGCCAGCTGAACGCACCAACTCCGACCCTCCTCCAAAAGCAGGCCAAGCGGCTACAGCGATGGCCAGGATGATGATGAAGGTCAAGAACCTCAGCGCCGCGAATCCGAGCTTGGACCCCCAGGGCCAAAGAGCTTGGACCCCCAGGGCCCAAGAGCTTGGACCCCCAGAGCCCAAGAGCTTGGACCCCCAGGCCCAAGAGCTTGGACCCCCAGGGCCAAAGAGCTTGGACCCCCAGGGCCGGATGTGAAGCACTGTCCACCTCTTTGGATTTGACTGGGAAAAGCAATGCTCCCAAACCTTGTTCCATCGTGTTTTATCCTGCAAGTTCCACAAACCAAACTAACATGACCTCATTGGCAAAGCAAGGATCGTGGATTCAGGGGGTAGGGGAGTGTTCACAGCGGACTCACTTCTTACTCTTTATCTCTCAACATGTTGGGTCAACAGAACCCGGGGAGGGTCTGCCAACTACAACCTAGTTTCGCCCAATTCAATCCCACACACCCATCTCAATTTCTCACCTGGCCAGGGCACATGCAGGTCTGCCTGCCAGCGGCTGCATTTCTGCTTTCGATTGTGATTTTCCGGATCATGCCCTTTGGAGGTCAATGGGAAGAGCCATGTGAGTTTTGTATAGTTTTGTCACCACTGCGGTCCGCTCAAAAAGAGATGACTGCAATGTAAATCCGGGCCAATGCAAGCATGCACTTGGACTCGGGGCTCCAAATGTCATCTCCCTGGACAGCCCGGCAACACCTTCGGCGGATGGCCATTCGGCGGCCTCAAAAGCCGGCTGATCCAGGGCGTGTCGGCATTCTCCCAGAGCAGGTCCGTCGGCGCTGGCGCTTCGCGCACGCGGATGGCGTGGCCTCGTGGAGGGGATGTGGCGCACGCACGTGCTTTTTTGCAGGCACGTGCGAAGCCAAAGCTTCCACAGATTGCCGGAGATTGGGATGGTTTGAAGATGTTTGAGGGGTCCAGGAATCGGATTCCATTTCGAAACCAAGGTGTCGATAAGTCTGTCGATAAGTCTATGGCATTGGACATGGCGCCTTTGGAATCACGGCTGCCACTTTGTCTATATATTTATATATGCTTTTTTCCCGCTAGATCTGAGCAACCTCAGAGAATTCCCTAATCTATTTTTGGCTTTCCAGGATTCATAGATGGCACCAACCCAAGTGGCCATGGAAGCATCTCTTCCGCGACAGGCATGGGAAGCAGCAGCGGAAGAGGCCAAAGCGCGCGAGACCTGAACAGCCATCCAAAAGCATCGAATGGAAGATGCAACAGTTCGAACACTAGGAAATACCATGAAATACCTACAGTACGACACCCATGTAAAATTGCTGTTGCTTTGTGAAGCTCAAGCAACTTCTGTCGCGACTGATGTAGTTTGAGTCAGTGTTCTGAAAGGACTGCCACTTCATGGGTTTGCCTGCCACTGTGGACCATCAGTAGCGCAACGAAAAAGTGTTCAGGAACATGTGCCGCTTCGTTTTACGTCTTATTGAATATCTACTTGCCCAAAAACATCACAATGCGTTGTTTTGGGGAAAGTGTCACTGTTGGTCATTGTCCACACTCTCCCCGAAATCCAAAAAGTGCCGCAATACAAACATTTCCGCCCGAAGAGCTGCTAGGTTTTCTTGGAAGGAATTCACAAAAGTCTCACCCAAAACCAATACCAAGGAAGGTCTCTCTAACCGATTTGTTGAAGAGTTTCACTTGTTGAGTCGTCAGTCTGCTCTATTTAGTAAACCCAAAGAATCAAGGGACCTTCGAGTCGCTGAAGGCTTTGAGATGTTTTGCCTTAACTTATATACCATGACTTACGTGGACCCAACTTGAAGTACGGAAAATGAGACATGACCCGAACAAAACAAGTACCAGTAGATTAGATCTTCCGAGGTACATACTGAGACTCCAGGTACGGGCAAGGAGGACTACTGATTATACTGGATTATATACTGTGAAATCATGTGGGCTGTTGACGATAACCCGCCCTCTATGGAGACGTGTTCACCATTCTCAAGAATACATCAACCATGAACAGTACTGAAGGGCGGTGTGACATGGTGTCACCCATGTGCCCCTGTCCCATGGCATCCGTTCTGACCGCGTTTCGGGTGGCATCAGCACGCCGAGCAGCGATAGTCGTAGAGCAAGCTATGCACGTCCTCCACCCGGTTGAGGATCACGAAGGCGCGCAGCACCGGGAGACTCGATGCGCATGCCCGATGCGGTGGAGGCAGGCTTTGCGGAGCGAAAGCCATTGGTTCGACCCAAGCATTCAGGCAGACTGCCCCCGCCAAAATCAGGAAGACACTCCCTGAATTTTCATGAATTTTCTCATGGAAGTGGACAATTGCACCTTGGATGACCATGTTTCTCATATCAAACAGGTGGTGAGTGTGTGTGTGTGGCACATAGTGGAACATGTGTAATCAATGGAAGCTTTGCTTTCCTCACACCTGCCTGGACTTCCGCTGCCTGGATGTCGCTGGATCCGCTGCACAACAACGGGCAGCGTCCGGCGTCCACCGGCAGGTGAGTTACCCTTACCCACTGAAGTGGGTACGGTTCCATATCACAGAAACTTGGGATGTGTCCCAAGTTTACAAGTCTATCGAGCAGGGACATCAAAAAGCCAAGATCACCCAGTTGAACCAAAACCACTGGAAAGTGCTCTTGGCACCCTGACCAATGCACACCAGGCACAAAGCTTGCGGAAGGCACACCAAGCTCCGAGCTTTTCTTCAGTCCATGTCCCAGTCCCAGCTTTCAGGCTTCAAAAACATCTCATTCATCGTGTAGTGCCGGGCGGCTCGGATTCTTCCGGCATCTGCATCTCAATCTTCTGGTCTAGCTTGGCCTAGGACCCAAAAACCTCGAACCTCGTGAGCTGCTCGGGTGCTGGGGGTAATTCCTGTTATAGTAAATCGAGGTCGAACATGTTTTGCAACCCAAGTGTGTGTGAAAGAGAGAATCAACTCAACATAACTCAACGACATTCGGCGAAGTCCGACGTCCTCTCAAACCTCATGAAAAGCGCCTTTCTCCAAACGGAGGTGAACCGAAAGGCCCAGAGTCTCACGGGTCTCAGTCGACGAGTCGACGTAATCCGCCGCCGCACGGGGAGGACGCACCGTTCGAGACGAAGAGAGCCTACTCACGGGGTGGCGTGGAGAGCTTCGCGCCTTCTTTTCTTGGAGCTTCGCCACCTTCTTCTCCTTCTCGTACGCTTGCCTCGTGCTCTGAAAAGCGTCAGCGGAAGGGGAGGAGGGGAAGCATCATGATGTGACCATCCAAAAGAACTTCAAGCGGAAGGGGGAGGTCGGACCATATGACGTGCCAAATCACCAACCCACCAAAACATGGTCCTTTCCTATCAAAACATGGATCATGTCAAATGGGTTGTATATATGGTTGTATACATGTCATGCCTGGCCTAACCTGACCCTACATGAAGTATTGCATACCTATGTCGGCTGTCCACTTACTCCCAAGATCTGCTTCTTCCCCTTCCATGTGCTCCCTGAAGAACGGTCCGGCTTCTGGACCAAGGTCAGCCATGTGGTCGCCCATCTTGCTTGAAGAGAAGCTCTTCACCTTGTGGGGCCTACAATAGTTCAAAGGCCTAGCGGCTCTACTGGGCCCATGCAGTGCGGTGAATCGACAGAAGGCCTGAAAGGTCTGAAATGAGGTCCTGCAGGGTCTGAAACCTGACCAAGGCACTGTACTGAGATCTGCTGAGTGAGACGCGCCTGCTCCTGCAAGGCATCAAGCCTGGCGAAGCAGTCCCTGACCGCCAAAGCCCTATAGGGGTGTCGTGTGAGTTTCGTGTGTAGCGCTTCTCACACCAAAAAGCTCCGCATCCTGGGGTCCTGGAATGATCCAGGCGGCCGCTACAAGTACTCCTACAAGGATCACCTTCAAAAGGAATGGTAAGCTGCTTGCTTCCCCTTCCTTTTTTCCGAGAAACATCTGGATACGCCATCCTGCCAAACGAAGGAAATCCATCCATCCCGGACCAAGGGCCCGCACCTCCCATTGAAGTCCCTGACCAGCGTGATCTCACGGACTTCGGGCTGCGGCTTTTTCCTGGGTGAAAAGAAAGGTCGAATGAGTTCTGCTCTGCTCAAGTCAAGCATCTGCAGCATCTTAGCATATATATAAGCATATTTTCAGCATCTTTTTCAAATTTGTTCACAAGTCAGGACCCTCCAGTCACTCACCTGGAATATCGGAAACAACGGTGTTAGCATGTATATAAAGGATGGTGTGTGGGTATGGTTCCGAAAAATCCATGAAACTGCTCTGATCTCCTCTGGATGATTTGGCGATTCTCGGTGATTTCTGGGATTTCCTCATGCCTGCGGCTGCCTGTGGCTGCCTGGCTGAGAAGCCTGCGGCTAGATGACAAAGCTTGGCTTTAAACGACATGGCGTTCAACTCCGTGCGTCTCTCCGTGATGTTGGACCGCTCGCATGCGGCCCTCCAAGTGCGCCTTCCTCACGGCTGCGAAGATCGAAGAGCAACGGTGGGAGCTAGGAAGGGTTTCTGCAGGTCCCTTGCGAACCGCAGGGTTCACAATCCCATGATATACCCCAAGCATCTGTCAAACGCAATAAGCTGTATACCTTGGGTCTATCCTAATACCTGTAACAGTGGATGATGATGGTTATGTTGCAGGCCTTGTTCCAGATTTGCTTGTGAAACCGGGTCCTGTTACAGGTAAGAACGGACAGACCCAGCTGTACACCTTTGGTATAGCTGGAGCCGGCAAGAGTGGCGATCATGAGTTGATCAGGGTGTTTTTTCCTCCGAAAAAGGCCCTTTGAGCTGCTGGCTCGTTGAGCCAGTTGGATCAATCATGGGACAACCAAACACAGGTAGGAACTCTGGCTTGCCTACTAAAAATTAATAACAGCGATGTCAATAACATCTAATAGCTATAACAAATAGTCAATACCAAGCTTAAAGTCTCAACTTCAAGCAAATTCAATCACCGGACGTCACCATTGTAGCGGGGCAAGGGGCACTCGATCCCAACATATCAGTAGCTGAGCAGAGAAGTGCAAATTTGCAATCAAACACGGGTCATAGTTTAGTCCTGTCACACCTGAAACACCGGGAAAGTAAACGCTTACTCATGTATTTTTTGCCACACACTAGAGTCATTAGAGACTTCATCTTCCATGGCGAGACTGCAGGGTGCAGTCTAAAAGTGTTAAACTTACCAAGTCGCAACTCTTTTTCATAGTTCTTCTGGTCATCGATCCTGGCAAGGCGAGCGGAGGTCTCCGGCTCCCAGAAGCACCGGAAGCACCCGAGGAAAGGACCGATTGCGAGGATTCCAACCACCACATCGATTTAATGGTGCTTACCGAACGACCATTGTTTGATAATTGTTTTGCTAGTTTTACTATGGGTTTAGAATGGTTTAGACTACAACACCAGGTCAAACTCCATTTAAATTATGTTGGGCCATGGCAGCCATACATGACCAACCATCAAATATTTGTTTTGTGAAAAAATAGCAAAAAGAAAGCAAAACCAAAGTGCACAAGCGCAATTTGCTTTCTTTTTGCATTTGTTTTGTTTTTTCCTGGTACCACTTCTGCACTTATGAGAACTTTTGCCAGTCAGCAATATTTGCTGCACGCTCCTAGGGAAAAAGCAAAACCAAAGCGAACAAAAAAATGTGAAAATCAAGCGAACAAAATGCGAAAATGAAGCCAAAAAAAATGAAAAAAACGACAAACACGCACAGCCACATTTGTTTGCTTTTTTTGTTTGCTTTACCATTTGCATGTTTTTGTCTTTTTGCTTTATAGACTTATTTTGGCTCCTCGGCTCCTTGTATATCTTGTATCTATGGCTGGCGCGCTCGACCTAACTCTATTTTAACACATATTGACCATCTTGGGGGGCTAGGGAACAGAAGACTGCGACGCCGTACGGCGTAAATGGGGAAGACAGCCGTACGTCGAAAAGGATCGCCGGTGCAAAGTCGAACAAGCACGGCTTATCCGGTGCAAAGTCGAAATGTATTGTGCTTGGCCGGAATCTATTTCTATTATAGGCACATGTTACAAAATTCTATTAAGTACTTTACAATATTTGATTCATGTGATCAACCCAAGTTCAGCTTGAACGGTGTCGCCCCAAACTTTAATAACATTGAACCAGATCCTCCACAGTGACACCTTCCCAACAAATCCAAATGCAACTCCCCCTCAAAAATCTGCTGCTGGTATGGGTACCATAGATGTCATAGATACAAGAAGTCCCACGGGCCAGTTCCAAGGGCGTTGCTGCTTTAGAAGGCCGCATCTCGCGATCGTCTCGCAGCACCTGGCCTCTTCGGCAACTTTTCCTTGGACGGGGTTGAACACACAGGGCTGCCAGGGAATTCGTGTCGCGTGCGAAGCCGTCCAATTTAGGATTGGTCCTCTCGGACCACCGAGAACTAACCCATTCCTTTTGGAACTTCTTTTCGGAACTCACCTAACAAAGGAATGGGTTCTTAGGATGCATGTTGTTCACCTAAGAGCCGGGCCGCAGGCCTTTGGAGTGATGGCATGACCCCGAAGGCTCGGATGATCCTGAACTGTTCAGGATGGTGTCATGGTGTCAGGGGCAGAACATATTGGGAAAACCACATATCCATTCAGAACAAGTTTCTGGAAGACCCGATTTGTTTGAAGCTCGCCTTTGAAATCTTCTGAAACAGGTTGACTTCCTTGAATTTTGTTATATAGATTTATATCGATAGATGCCTCGACCCATGTGAGGCCGCTGTCCCAGGTGTCTTTTTGCGACCCGTTCCTTTTCCAGGTCTGGACGGAAGGTGTAGGAGTCACCACCAGAAACACGCCCCCTGACGGAGAAGAAGCTGCAAACGAGTCACCACCATCACCGCGAAGTCGTTCACCGAGACGTTGTTCAGGTCGTCACTCTCGATGCGTTGAGGGATTTCGTAGAAGCCTGGCACCACCAGGCGCGGTGGGCTGCGCCGGTCAGATGCGACGAGCGATGGGTGTGGCGAGGGAAGAGTCCACATGAGTCCACCCCCTTGTTACATGCCATGTTGACATCAGGGTCCAACGGGCCATTCTTGCCAAGACCAAAACAGGGCAGGTGAATGTTTGGGGGTAAGACCTGAAGAATCTGAAGATCCAGATTTGATTGTGTTGGGTGAAAAGGGCAAACCCATCCACGAACCTTACTATGGGACCTGTACAACATGCTGGTGGCAGGACTCTTTGAGATTGAGTTCTCATGATATTGCCCATGGGACATATTGCAAACATACGTAGGTCCGTGCCTGTTCAAAGTTTACATCATTTCAGTCATTTCGTTAGATTGTGCCAAGCCAACTCGATTGCTTTATACTTGGGATATGAAAAATCCTGTTTGGCCGCCTATCCTGAAAGAATTTTCAGGTACTCCTGATCACCTGTACCACGGAACAATGGGACCCTGTCCGACAGGGACGAGGCTTGGGACGGAAAAGCGGCGGCTTCGGACTCAAATAGCAGTGCAGTCAGGCTTCGGAAGCGCAATAAGTAGCAGAAGAGCATAAACCTCAACTGGTTGGTTTCAACTGCAGGAGCTAAACCTACGAGTCAGTGGATGCCCACCTCGTGCAGCATGTACGTCGCTCTCAGGGAGAAATGGACCGAGGAGAATGGCCGAAACCGGGTGCCGTTCTCAGGGTCCATGAGGGTCGTCTGGGCGGGGGGGGTGAAGGTTGAAATGTTCATAATACCCAAACACTCCATGTCTGTCATATATCCCTACGTTGACCCCTCAAACTACCCCAATGTAGGTAAATATGCCATACATGGAGTGTCTGGGATAGATTATAACTTAGATTATACCTCAAGATCCGCCAAGATGTCCAGCGGACGTTTGGAATCTGGCTTTTGGTCGTGCTTTTCCGGTCATGTTGTAGGACCACAAATGATCCCCCGAAGCCTGGAGTTGAAAGGATAAATAGACTGGGTTACAAGATGTTACAAGGTGTTTCCGTTGTTTGTTTTTGGAGGGGTGCTGCTCACCAACACCCTCCCATCGTCATGAAGATGTTGTACAGTGCAAGTGGAAAGCAACAAATCATCTCAAGTCTTGGTTGACTGAGACGGGCCCTCCAGCACACAAAGCCTCAAGGCTCTGACTGACAAACTGTGAACCCATTCTTCCAAGTCTCACGTCTTCAAAACCATCTATTGCGCTGCAAGCAAAAGAACATGTCACCTACTCGAAGTGGACATCCTGCATGTCAATGTCCCTACCACTGCACATCACCTAAATGTAGGTGTATAATTTCAGATACTACCGGTGTCATTTGATGATTTCGGGAAACCTGAAGAATGGGTAAACATCAGGGTCCCACTCAAGAACTGAGGCGGCCCTTTTGGCAATCGTATAACATAACATGCTATATTATATATATATAACCAATGTCCTAATTGTGTTATATTTATATATATATACTGCAATTGGCTAATTGGTTAATATTGGTTATCTATAAATCGTTTTATGGGAGGGGGAGAAACCCCTCCCATTTTATAAGCCAAAAGGTGACCGGGATGTTACCACATGTCACGCTTCACCGGCACCTGGCGGACGATGGACCGGATGCACTTTGACATACCCTAGGGCTCCAAGTGCCTCCTGGTATTTGGACCCTCTACAGTAAACCCACCCCAAAGCCCTTGGAGCCTTAGGGATACAGTACTTTGACCAACATGGCGGAAAACGGCCAATGGACACAAATTGCAGTCGACGGTCGACCTTAGGAACAGGAGGGTTTCCGCTTCCATTGTGACGATTTCGTCGGAGGGCCGCGCAGGCCTGGGCCCTGCTTGGTCTGCCTCTATCAGATGACAAGCACTCTGACTCTCAGTGGTCTGTGCTTTCAGATGTTGCTCAACACCAGCCAGGAAAATGGATGCGCGATGGCAAATGAGTGGCAGGTGAGTGACTGTAGGCCGTAGATATCCGGAGATCGTTAAATCTGACATCTGAAAAATCAACTGCCCAGGCGTTTGAAATATCATTGGGTGCTTCTTTGGGGGGGGCTTATTCTTCGAAGCCCCCATGCTTGCCCATTCTCAAGCTCGCTTGGGGTCTAAACACAATTGGGATCAATTGGGACTCATGCAGATCTTTCAGCCACGTAACACTGCAATGAGGTCCAACCATGCGAAGATGGCCGTCAAGTCACTCCTCAACGGGAGGTCTAGTGGGCGGTCGAGGGTGGTAGCCTATAATACAATGATCACCCCAAGTGTCCCATATTCTTGAGAAATCTTCACTCACCTGGTTGTTGTGACATAAAAGGGCTGCACTTGCCACTGCCACCTTCTTGATGAAGTGCTTCATGTTCGCAATGCTTCAGTTTGGTGCATTTTGTGTGCCAATGGAGTTTCACTGCAACACCAACAAGTCCAATTCCCACCTTCAAAAGCAAGGATAAACATAAACAAAGGCACAGAAACGAAGAAACGCGCAACTTACTGGAGTGAAGTGTCCGTGGAAAACAACAGTTAACCTTGTTCCTCCTGTTCATGTTCAGTGGGTTTCTCCAGTCCGCCAGAAAAGGTTATCCATGGGCTCACAGTTATCGCTACCAAGTTGCAGTTGCATACCATCACAACTGACCCGCACGATTCGCAGCCTGGGCTGACAAAACTCTGGTCCAGTCCCTCTTGGAAGATTCGTGCGCAGCCGTGCAGACCAAGGAAGACATGTTTTGAATTGTTTCGAGTGCTTTTGCTCCATGATTCTCCATGCCACTTATGCTCCTTCAGTGTTCTTATGAATCTATAGGCCACTACGCAAAAGAATGCTTTGTGGCAAGACATGCCCCGTGAATCGGCGCACCTTAAGGATGTACATGATGTACATACTCGAGGCCGAATGATTCTCATCAACACCATGGGACCCTGGATGACAAAGGGGAAAAACATAGAAAGAACAAGTTTTTTCATCCATCGTCCTTGGCCCAAATCACATGGACCATCATGGACCCCAAACATCCCAACCCATGTTTGTTCCGCTGTCGACCGAGCCAGAGTTCAAGCCAGCCCTCCATACCCCTCCGCCGAGTGGCAATGGGTCCAAGATCTTGGTGTCCTGAGTGGGCTCGTGGCGTTCTTCAGCCACGGATGTGGCCGTAAAGCCGCACCAACATGTGAAGAGTGATAGTTCTTCTGCCGGCCATTCATCATCTGGTTGGTGGTTCCCATGTGAGTCAGTGGTTTCATCCAAAACCACCACCCAGTTACTGCGGCCATGAAACATGCTTCGTTCATTTGCCTGGCAACATCTGGCAACACCCTCCGGGCTCCACAGCGTCATCGACTGCAGAAAAGGACGACTGACCAGTCGTGAGGCCAAGTCATGCAAGTCTTACTCCAGAGGGCTTGCCCGCATCTGGAAGATCCAAAGTACAGTGAATAGACCGTGACCGGTCCATTCATATTCTGAACTCCCCCTCCTGACGCAGGACGTGCCCCCCGCTGTCACCTGCGGCTAGGAGGCCACATAGAGCCCGAGATTTCCAATGGAGGTCCGTGCCAGGATCTGACCTGACGCCCAGCGGCTCTGTTCCGAGTAGTGCTGAGTGGTCGACGCGACCACCGGGGTCTAGAGCTGTCGGAAGGTTCGTCACCCTTGTAGCCAGTTTGTGGCAGTGGTGGGTGGGCCATTTCGTCACGCCCCGATCCAGCTAAGCGTGCAGCTCCCTTGGGTGCTTCGTGTTAACTTCCCCAACCTCCCAACCTCCGCAACCTCCGTGCGGAAAGCAGCGCGGCAACCGCCGCTGGGTCCCTGGGTGCATCGAGTGGCCGTTATCCGGAGCAAAGGTGCCCAACAAGCAAAAGGCCGTTGTGGGGAAGGTGATCGCCGCCTGAGAAGACGAGCCGCGCCGGGGGAGCGGGAGCCGCTCCGGGCGGCCACAAGCGACCTGTTCGATGCTCGTTTACGGCCTCTGTTTTGAAGGTGATGGGAGGTCTCAGAACATATTACCAGGGTGGCCCTGTCTGAGGAGCTGTTCAACAACTTCCGCGAGAAAAACAGCCATCGGCACCAACGAAATAATCAACATATTATATGACGATCCAATTAATTCCGAAGAATACGTGTATAAGTAGAATGCCGACACGCTTCGTTAAGAATGTTAAGAACACGCGAAGAGGACTGGTTGAGTTTTGGAAGCGTTCCATCTTCTGTCAACAGGGACCTGACCAAAGGAATACTGATTGAATCTGATGATTGAAGGATGCGGGTACCCTTAATGAGAGATCTCGAGGGGATTGGACATTCAAATGTGGATTGCTATTCATAATGTATCCATGAAGGAGTAACGCATAGGGGACATCCCTCTCGTCCTCAAACTTCGTGATGTCATTCCTCAAAGCCTTGACATGGGTCTGTCATGGTCTTGTTGCAATTCTATGGACTTCTTGACTCTGTACACGCCCTAGTACTCCAACTACCTCCTGAGCTGATGTTTTGGCTGGCGGGGGCCAGTCCCTACCCTTCACGTGCTTGGAGCCCGGTCGGATGATCGACAGCATGTCGTTTTGCTTGGGAAACTACTCACCAATCACAAGCACTACGAAAAGCGATGCGACTTCCCCAACACCTGCAGGTTAATTGACCTTATAGGACCCTATACAGTGTACCTACAATAGTCTGTAGATGATTGTAGATGTCTATATTGGTTTTTTCAACCTCTGCTGGCATCCCAATGGATAGGGCCTTTCACCAAACATCCGGCGACTTCACCGACGGACGCAGCGACGGGACTGTCCTCCACCGCCCTCGTCGGACTCCGTCGGACCCCACGTTGGTCCGGGATGCCATGGTGGCGAACAAATAGCCCATCGTCCTCAAGGTCTGGAAATAGAGCACGGTGCCGGTGCCTCCCACACGACCTGGTGACGAGAGCGAGTGTGCTGGCAGGTGGTGCTGAGCGAGGTCCGGAAAGACCGATCCCGACGTCCGGAGGTCCGGAGGTGGGTGGGGGGGGGCAAAGCAGGCCTGGCGCCCAAAGACATCAAGTCACAAATCAACCCCCTTCGCACGAATGCCACGCCACGCTTTTGTGTGGTTTATCATGGGGGCGGCTTGGCCAAAAGTTCGGACAAGAAGCCAAGTGCTGCGAGAAGAGACATGTACATTTACAGTACATGTCTTCGGTTCCTATTTCATCCCACTTCATGCTTGATGGATCTTGCTGGCAACTTGGAAGAGTTACTTTCAAAACCTATTATATATTTATGAGTCTTTGCAGTGAATAAAGGCTAGATTGCACAATCCCCAGTCACAGTGCTTCAGAACAGGATCCCCATCTAAACGACATCTATCTGAGTTTGTGCATCCACTGTAGTGAAGTCGCCTTGCAGGCCAAACTCTTCTCGCCCCTCCCTCGTGACCCCGAAGACATCCCGTGTCGAGGGAGCTTCGCCATCCACGGCCGAAGCTAAGTAAGAAAAGATCATCCTTGCAATTGGATGCAATTGGACCGAGTCCATGTCCAAACACCCCAAGAGAAATGCATGGAACATACCTGGGTCTTTTCTATTTCTTGTTCTGCCATGTTCTGCCTTCCCATTCCACTTGGTGTTTCGCCGCACTTTTACGTGTCCGAATCGAACTCAGCGGCTCATCTTCTCGATGCCCGTGAAAAAGGGACTCAAGTACTCATCGTCCTTGGTCGCAAGCAGTGAGTTGCTTCCTCCCGCGCTGGTCCCTCTGCTTGGCCCCAAGATGGCCCAAGCGAATCCCTGCTTTGCATTCCCGAATTCTCGTGGACACGGGGAGGTGAAAACAGGGCCGTAGACGCACGTAAGCTGCTTCTCCTGGCTGGACAACCCTATACATAGGTCTCCATTGGGCACCCACTGGAAGTGTTAGGTAAATGTTGGTCGTTTCAGCAAGCTTTAAGGTCAGGAAAATTCCAAACATGACTGCTTGATCAACGAACCTGAAACAGCCCGCGACCTCGTCCAAACCGAGGGCCATGAACCACCGTGCTGGTGAAACATTCCGTCCGATGTCTGGCATGCATGGCAATCAGGAATTGTTGCTACCAAAGAGGTAGACTCGCCGAGTTTGTTCGCTGACTCTGCTCCGTCCAAACAGATCAGGTCAACGATTTCATCACAAAGCAGAAACTTGCCACCTCAAAGTCCTGGAGAAACCATGTTGTCTCTGGGCCATTCCTTCTATATTCCTTCTTTTGATCTATTTCACCAACCCCGGAACCGCCCACACCGCGGTGCGCGGTGCGCAGGAGCGCGCGCACGAGCTTCGCTTCCGCTTCCGAGCGTCCACCGTAGCGCTCGAGCGCCTCAGTGTTAGAGAGCTGTCCAGCGTTGATAGGATCAAGTCCTCTCCGAACAAACCATGGAAAAGGTGGACCTCCCTTGTAGATCTTGTTAGAGGAATCCTGTTCATGTTCAGGGGTTAAAGCAAATGGCCCGGGTCCAAAGCCTTTGACGCGGAGCAGAGTTCACACCGAGTTCGGTGTTGATCTGGTCGCTGTTTCGACAGCGGCAGCCCATGGCATTGCCATGGGTGAAGCCACCAACCGACTCAAGGGATGCAAAGGACAGGAATTGAAAAGAAACAGCCCGAAGAATCATTGGACCCTCCAAACTGGAGGGTTTTGACCCTGCAGAACGCAAGGGTTGGGACCCGAACCAAACCTTCACCGAACTGAGGGTCCTTGATTCTTAGGGAGGTGTCCTTTTTGGGGTTGGTATTGGAAAATAGTGTGGACTCTTGATTGATGAGGATGCACTCATAACAAGCACATACCTGGATCTTCCAACTATATGCAAAATGTATGCAACATGCCATGTATGCCTTTTGTCAATGCGTTTTATAGATGAAAAGGCATCATCTTTGCACCGTTGCCGCACATCCTCCTTTCCAAGGCACTTCAGGTGCCGCAGCGCTGCCGCCCGGTCGGGCCGCGTCTTCTTCAAATCCTCCTGCGCCTGGCCAAGGATACAAGACGGTGAAATGGTGAAACCATGGTGAAACCATGGTGAAACCTGTTCATTTTGCTTTCCTACTATATAATGCTTCAGTGATGCTTCAGTGTGTGTTTCTTCATTGGCATGTGGAGGTTTAGGCTTCACGCACACGCACACAAGAGCCTTTTGCCTTCTTCCGGATTCTTCAGGGTAAACCAAACAAAAAAAATGCTCATATATGATGTGAGGTCTTTCTTTCTGGTGCCCCGCATTCGAAGAGTCCAGTGGCGCCAACCGAGCCCACGTGCCACACGACGCGTCCAGGACGGTTTTTGCTGTTTCGGAGTCCTTGAAGGTTGCCGAAACGGTGGATGAAAGGATGGACGAACACATGACATTTACGGGGTCAACACGTTTTTTTCCGGCCTCATGGATCCATCTGCGCCTGTGCCCTCGTGGGAATTGACATTATTGAATGGACTTGGGTTCAGCTCACTGTTCGAAAGCCGATAAGCTGGTAGGGGAAAAATTGTTGGATGGGAAAAACCCTGCCAAAAGGTCCATGTTGGGATGTTGAACCCGTTCAAGTGAAGTCACGCTCTGCCGGGTGACATTTTTGGGCACCCATTCCACGCCATGAGCAGTTCATGGCTAGAGTAATAATCATGATTGGTCACGTCACAACATGTCACAACATCATGCTCAAAGTAAACATATATCATATTTTCATATATTTTCATTTAATTTCTGTCACTCTGTTGGCTTATAAGCGTGTTTGTTTTCCTTAAATTCTTGTTGCTGGCATGGCCTCCAGTGCCACCGAGTCACCCACGCACAACCACATCCATGACGTCCCACTGACACCGCTCCCGCCCTCCGGTCCCTGGAGGGCGCTCCTCGTTTTGCCTATCCTGACCCGTCTTCGCGTGACCTTGGTCTTGGAGGCTGGCGAGGCACCGCTTCGAAAACGCGCCGCCGGGGGCATCGCTTCGCAGGGCACACTGAGACCCAAATCCATGTCACGGTGGATTTGTCATTTCGCTGTCAACACGATGGAACCACATTTGCGTACCGCATGCACAGCTTCCGGTTTGCCTGGCCTGTTTGACACGTAGAAAGTGCCAGCTTCAGCGAAGCCTTCGACAAAATGTCAAACCCAGCTCCCGAGAGCACCTTCTGTGGCACAACCTCTTGACTGGAAAGCCAACTAGGACTTGGATGAAATGCGAGCAACAACAGCCCTGGCAAGCCAAGCCCTGCACCATGCTCCGGGCTTTCGCCTCCTGGCCGCTCGGGGCAGGCCCCAACAAACAGTGTGTTAGCCACATGACTTCACCAAATCGCATCACACTTAGCAATGGCGTAAACGCTGGTGGGTTTTCAAAGGAGCGTGTTTGCACGGGATGAAGAATTAGCCAAATATTTAAGACTTGTTTGTCTCAAGCCACGGGCCTGTGCAGCGCCCTAAACGCGTTTGCCGTGGCAGCAGCAACATTGCTGGAAGCTGGAAACAAGAAAGTGCAGCAAGTCCCTTTGCGCCAGCAACGTGGGGAATGGCAAAGTCCGTCCGTCAAGAGGCATGGCTGTGTCTACATGCAAACCAGCCCCCGCCAAGTGTTTTGTTGCAATGGTCTCCTTACTTTGTAGGCGGCAAGCACACATGCAAGGAATTCAGGATGGCGTCGTTATGGCGGTGTTGCAGTCTTAATGGGAGTCTCCAGTTTCACGAACTCGTGGTGCACGATTTCGGAGAACACCACGTCACCAAACACGGAGCAAGTCCTCCCTTCTTTGGCCGGTCGTCGGCCGGTCAGGGCTCCGATCTTAGGGAGGCGAGGTCGTTCCGGTTGTTCTTATAAGCCTTCCAAGGACTAGCATCAACCCAAGCCTCCTCACTTCGGGACTGCAAAACGAAATGGGGGACCTGAACATAGAATACCCTTGACTGGCAGATTTACCTAGATTGAAGTGTTTTGATTGGTCAATGTCAATTTGATACAACCATAACTGTTACTATAAATGTATAATTGCATACGTGGAGTGTTTGGGATAGGTGATGATGCCTTGTCAAAATGCAGGTTCGGCAGCTCATTTGACGGCTGCTGTTATCTGAGGGGCCACAAGAGTGTGTGTGCAAGTGGCATCAAAAGACAAGGTATAGTCTTCCTGGAGATGGTGCGTGTTTTTTTTCCAGAACAGGTGCTCTTGGTAGATGTTCTGTGCAAACAATGAAGCAAACACACTGTGTTGGGCCCTTCTGATGATTCCTATTGCTGAGCTCCATTATGGAGGAGGTACTGGCACTTCAGGAAGAACATGCAAGAAGGATGCCACCTGGGCCCGGAACAAAAACACGTGGACACCAAAACGCCATAAATACCTGGAACCTGAATGACCTCTATTTTGGACCACCAACCACCCAAAATATACTATCAAAACAGAGGTCAAATGGGTTCCGGGTATATCATACATATATCATACATAACCCCTCCGGTGCCAAACTGCCGAACGGCCCCACGACTGTTCTGTTTGAAAACACCGAAGAGGTGAAGAAAAGATGAGTGAGCGGCGGACCTTCACCTGAACCACAGGACGACATCAACAAATCCGCTGTCGAAGCAACACCCTCTACAATGATGAAGTGGAAGTGAGGAATTTTCAAGGCATCCCCTTGGACAATGAACTCCTAAACGGTGTGGTCTACTTCCTTGGATTGGGGGAGGGAAAGTGAACCAGGTTGTCCATCTGTCCATCTGTAGTGTGATGGTTTGTGCGTGTTTCTCTATCAAGGGCCTGAAGGGGAATGAAGCCATCTGAAAACTCCGGTGGGTGTGTTTCTCATTCTTTGTCTTGTCAAAAACGGTGCAGGATGAGGACATCATGCATAGGCAGCACCTACATCAAAGCAGAACTGGACTCCTTTGCAGTGCCAAGGCCATAATGTGCATTCTCTGCACCAGGTACAGTCTTGCATCACGTGCACGGACACGTACGACTTAACCCCACTGAAGACTAATTACTAACATGGACCCTGAAACAACTGGTTAGTTGGGGAAGACAGACTTTCAGGGCGCCATTCTCAGGATCCATGTTAGTTGAAGATAGTTGGAGTATATCGAGCGCACCCTCCCTGAAATGATCATGAAAGTGGATGGCATGATTTGCTGGAAGAACCCTGTGAAATCCTCTCCAAACAAGGCCTGGTCCACAGGCCTCGGTTTGCATGGAGGGACTGTCTCTTTCCGGCCACCTTTGGGATCAGCAGGCCAGATCACATCGCGGGACGCTTCCTTCAGACCCGAAAGGCACGTCGGAAGCGTCCTCCTCCTCCACCTTCCGGAGGGAACATCGTCCATCCGGACCTAAGCCCCACTGGCCTTGGTCTTGAGGCCTTGGAGGCCTTAGTATCCATCCGTTTGAGGTTTTCCTTCTCCACTAAAGCTGGGACCGACGGCCATCGCTTCGCCCCAAATGCCCCGACGATCTGGCCGCCGTTGTGGGGGCGCCGATTGAACGGCGCCGCGATGACACCAAGACCAGCGCTCCTTCCGGGTAGACTCGTTGGGGCTTCCTGCGGCCTCGTTCGGCGTCGAGCATCGCTTCCATATTCCGGGTGGTTCAGGATAGGTGTGCGCCCCAAGAACCCACGACTGGGTTGAAAGGAAGACTTAAGTATATTTCAGTGATTCCTTCCTACTTGGAACCTGGGGATTGAAACCCTGGTTTTGGGATGATTCCCATTCATGATCGATTTCGCTCGATTCCATCATCTACATGGAACCCATGACACTGTCAGATGGAACCCATGGGTGGCGGACCATCCCACACCATCCTTTTTCGTCCCACCGGTTCGCATCAAATGGGCATGGTGCCAGTCTAGTCATTAATATAAACTATAATATCATGAATACATAGAGAGAGAGACAAACACACCCCATTTGGATTGTAAAACCATGTGAGAGGAGCAAACAAAAACAATGACCACTCTTCATTATGGTGGGTGATTTTGGTTCATCAAGAGCCTACAAAGCTTACCAACTGTTGGGGTCCTCTTTCACTGGTTGGATGCAATGACTGGGTTCGCTGGATCGAAGCCGCTGGGGTGATCTGATGTTGGAAGGACTGGCACCTGACGGGAGATCAGTGATGGCCACCCGTCCGTGGACCAGAGATTTCGTAGACTCATCTGGTCCGGAAATTGGAGAAGTTCCGCCCCGCCCAACCAGGGTGCTTTTTTTCGATGGCGCCGCACCTGCAAACATTCAGGACATCCCCAGTTTGTAAGTACCTGCCATATTCTGCAAAACCTGATCAAACAGAACATGACCACCAGCTGGTCAAACTAACAAAACGGCCCCACCACTCACCGTGCCGGGCACCTTCCAATCCGAGCAACACCAAATGAAAGGCACCACCAGAATCAGTAGGAGTGCGATGGCGCTGATGGCCGAGAAGATCCACACCTCGGCCATGAACCGAGGGCTTCGGCTTCGACAACGACGACGGGCGAGGGCATGAACGGGCATGAAGGGGGTGACCTACACGGTACGTTCACCCGCCGACATGCGCATGTCGGCTCCTTCTTGGAGCACTGCTAAAGTCACGTGTCGCACCGACCGCATGAAAAAAGCGTCGTGTCGCACACGTGTTGGTGACCTCTGCGTGTTGGTGGTTCCACACGTCGGTCGTTGCGATGTGTCAGAATCAAGGCATCATCAGGAGAATCTCCCACAAACCTCACATCTCAAGCATGTTGTCTGTTCAAGGGGGTGGCACTACTGGTGGCACTGTTCAACCAAGACATCGGAAGCAAGGCTCTGGACTATGATTCATGACCATTCATGAATCCCGAGAACCTGTTGAAACAACACTACCACTTGTTCCATGATTGATTGAAAGGGAAAAAACTGCCGGACACCCTGAAAAGACCATCAAGATCCAGTCCCCGTACCCCTCACGGACCAACCTCACGACCTCCGTGACACGCTGGCCGCCACGTGCTCCAATTCGGGTACGAACGACAGTACGAACCGGCCTGTCCCGACCTGTCCACGTCATCTGAAGATGTTCGGTTTGACCCGTTGGACTTCCTGGGCCCCAGGCCTTTTTTGAAGTTGGTTCCAGATGGTTCCAGATGTTTGAAGTCGGTTCCAGATGTTTGAAGTTGGGAAATCCCTTTAGTCATCCCTTGTCATCCCTATCTACTGGGAGTGGGACTTCACGCGGCCTTTTCCCGACCATGCTGGGTTTGGGGTTTCACAAGGACCTGCCGAAGTACATGGGGTTTCACACCTCACTGGCCTTGTGAGTCGCACCAGCTTAGCGGTCCCCCACTTCGGAGAACAAGTCCGGCTGGCTCCCGAGGCTCGGCGTTTCAAGTCGGATGCGGCGAAGGCCCAAAAGCACCATGGCAAGGGGATCTTCATAGTAGTTGCGTGCATTTGTCTGCGGAGAAAATCCCTTTCCCAGCCGCCCGACATGTGCGCTTCTTCCTTGAATGTTATATATATTATATTGTATATACATCCCCATTTTAAGACACACCCAGCTTGATCCACTGGAACGTTGCTCCGACCCAAAACCATCTATAGACACTCTCCCAGGAACGGCTCGTACTGTGAACCCCACTGTGAACCCCGTCCCTGGGCTCTGCCGCCGAGGCCGTGGCCCTCGCAAAGTTGCCGCCACCTGACATGTCGATCTCCGAGCATGCGGCCTTAGTGGTCTCATCATGCAACCTGATCCCCACCACCATTCTGGGTGTCCAATAGACTACCCTCACACTACTTAGAGATCCCCACCAGGACCACCCAGCCAGGATGGTCTAGTCAGGTCTCAGGGTCGGTATCTCAGACGTCTCATGCTGTCGGCTTGCTCATGCTGTGCGAAGAGGAGCATCTCTCTCCGTCCGTCTGGTTCTGTCCGCTTGATCGTTGTTCGTCCGTCATCAGATTGGTTACGTGGTCGAGACAAATGGCGGACGTGGGGAGAAAGCGTCCCAAAGCCGGGAGCGAGACCAACCCGCCAACGGCAACGAGACTGGCATTTCACCCATCAGATCCCCTCAGATCCAGATCATCGCACTTTCAGTGTGTCTGCCCGAATTTCCTGCTTTGCTCTCAGGGGCCGAGAAACCCGGAAACCATCTTCTTTGCGACATGCTGAGCCTAAAGATCAACATGTAGCAATGTAGCATGTACGACATCGAACGGGGTCACCACCGGGATTTTGAGCCTCCCTGAGCCTTCGGCTACGCCCCAGCTCATTCCAGTCAAAGCCCAGACACCTCTTCAGCCCAAACCTCTAGTGCTTGATCCATGGCCGCCATGGCGCGGATAGGCACGTACGTGCGGCACGTAGGTGCGCGAGGAACGTGGATGGGCTGGGGAGTTCTGTGGACTTTCGGGGCTGACTATCCGTTCACGACATTCCAGGTGTCGTAGGTCCTAGGTGTTGGAGTGGCCAAGCTTCGGTCTTTCCTTGGTTTTGGGCATGCTTCACGAGGCGCGGAACCGGGAGCTGCGCCCACTGCTGGGACGCGCTCGCATTACGGCTACAGGGGGCAGCAATGGGTAGCACATCGAGCATGTTTGGGTGGAACAGTGGGAGCACCTGCCAACGAATGACTTTCTGCTTGTGCAGGGGAGCCCCCCAAAAGAATCATTCACTTGGAACATGTCTGTACACTACAACTTGGGCACGCAGTGCCGTTTAGATCCAGATCGAACACCTATACCAATATAGAGCGGGCAATAAGAAGACATACGCCGCCGGGGCACATAAGCCGGGTGCACCTCCGCTCTCCTCCCATATTCTTCCTTAAAGCATCAACGTCATGCCGACGTAGACTTACTGGGATGTCCTTGGAGTTGTGCGAATCCCCCGATCCTTTCAGGTAACATCGTGCGATGACCCCCCCAAACCGTCAGCGACAGGAACTTCCTGTGGTGCGGCTGATCGGTCGCGATGATCAACTCTGTGGGAGTTGAAAAGGACGAGACTTTGGAGCCGCTAACTTCACCAGGGACATGACGTGAACTTCAAAACTAAACCCACCACATTCCATGTACATGATATATACCATCTACTATAAATATATATATATATACATGCTTCCATCTGCACCAACTGGCCGCTGACGTCTGCGTTGAAGTCCCACGCCTGCCCAGGGCCTGGGCTGCCTGGTTTCGGTCCAGTCGCTGCTGAGCATGCAAACGCCGCCGTGACAGCGAGGCATATCTGGCGGACGTGGGTGCCGTGGGTTGGAAAACCGTCTGCCCGTCCCAAAGAGTATCAAAGCCAGTATGCTTGATGTTGTTGTTTGTGTATATAGGTAGAAAATTTAAATTACTTAATAATATAATTCTAATACGTATACTACATATATATGATATATTATAATATATATATATATTATACTATATTGTGCGTATAAGCTGGAGGGCACTCCCTGTAGCTCCTTGACTCCCTATTGAATCTGAATACCTCCAGCTCCTTCACTCCCGTCCTAACCAGCTAGGTCCTAGCAGCTAGGAGGAATATTGATCCAAAGATCTTTTGGTTGAGACACCACAGCAACGGTGGCCGGCTGGGTAAGTTGGCTTCGACCTAGATAAAGCTGCGGCTGTCCAAACTCCTTGTCCAATCTGCCATATAGTCATCATGGACTAGATAGATAGGAGAAAAGCAATAGGAAACTGGTAATGCTTTTGGATTGGTCAATATTATAACTCCAGGAATGATAACATGATAACATAATTCTACATCGCTCCCCACCGATTTGGACCACTTCTTAGACTTCAGCTTGGAGGGGAGGCAACGCTTTTATTGAGTTGGTAAGGATGGGCTGTTCTGAGCTGCGGCCGACGTGCAAAAACAAACTATATAACTAAGCAAAAAGGCCAGGACAGTGTTCAACCAAACTAAGCAGTGTATTATAGGGCAGAGCTACTGGTATTGCTTCGGGAAGGTCCTATCGCTTCTTAAGATTGAAGGTGGCTTCCTTCACAAGCTGAGATCAATGGTTGACTTGTCAGATCACTGCGTCCAGGCCAATAAGAACTACCTAAGGGACAGGACATCAGCAACGTATTGGGAAGACCTCTGAGAATGGCAAAAAACACTTCAAAACAACACGAATTCTTCTGCCACCTGCACTAGGTTGCATAGTAGAAACATATGTTCACATGCGACTCTTTGTGCACTCCCATTGGGAGATACAAGATGATACAAGTTCCTACGAGTAGGTGAGCCCAAAACACACGCGGTCTGACGCGACTCCGTGACGTCGCCCAATGTCCCAAAGCTGGGCCTGACCCAACTCAACCAACTCTTGCGGAGGCTTTGCCGGTAGTGCGCTTGCCTGGAGTGTCTGATCAACCCCCTAAGCCATTTTGGGCGGCTGCCAATTTTTGTGGCCATGGCCACCGCACCCATAGCCTCCAACAGCCTATTTAGGTCTGCAAGGTGTTCCCAAATGTGTCCAATCAAGTTGCATATGCTTGTTAAAGAGTAGATTGCACAAAAACTGACATAAAGTGAAATAAATCGTAGACGGAGGATTCTATTGTTCACCGCCTCAGCTGAACTGGCTGAAACGTTGCGCTCTCAAATTCCCCTGATAACTGATCACTGATAACTGCACTTTAGTGCACTGTTCTTACCTCCGATGCTAAAAAAAGAGAGAGAAAAACATGGGGCACCATCATGGGCACTTCGCCAATCATCGAACCCCTTCAAAGGCACTCGAAGCAGGCAAAGCAGGCGAAGCAAGCGAAGCAGCTCGGGAAGTTCCCCCAGGACCCCCCGGCATTGCCTGCTACGAGTAGCCACGGCCAAATGGCTACAAACACATGACCCATGCGTCAGTGACGAGTAGATGGTACAATCCCCCAAAAGGTCATCTATAGAAAACCATAGAAAACCCCGTCTAAAGGACATCTTGGGGTTTTGTGGAATCTACTCTGAAAACATCTGAAAACGCTGCAGAACAAGGGCGCAGTTGGGAAACCTGACAAGTCATACCGAGTCATACCTGCCCTCTTGCAGGACATGATATAGCACCTTCGTCGTTGACACGGACCGATTGGAAACAGTGTGCAGTGTAGCTAGGGCAAGCGAACCATCTCACAGAATAATGGTGTGGTTGCATTATGCAGCCCCGGGAGCGTTTTCAGAAAGAAGGCGTGGATATTAATGGAACTTGAACAGGAGCTTTGAACCACCTTTTCCTCACCGCCAGTTTCAATCTAGAGGTCCACGACGATCGGAGATTGCAGCGCTGGTGGTTTAAACAAGGGTTTGCAAAAGAACAACTTGGAAGACCAAGGTGAGGGTAACCGTTATCAATAACAAATAACAAGATATACGTGGGTCGAAATTAGGAAACGCTGGTTGACCCCCAAGTAATGTAGGTCAACCGTCCCTCTATTCCTCATCAATGTCCAAGACAAGTCTCCGTGCCAAGGCCCTCCGCTGTTGGCGGCGCACCTGGCAAGGGTTGTGGAGAGTGAAGGAGAAACACGACCGAAGTGCCAGGATGTGCGAATGTAGGCCTCATGAATTCTATGAAGCGGTGAACTACGATGAAAAGCCACGGGACCAGACCAGGTGCTTACTTTGGTCTTGCAAATTCCATGTTCCACACACCCACACCCATGGCAAACCAGCCTAGAACCTGAGAACGGATTCCTGGAAGACGGTTTTTTCTCCCGAAGCCTGTGGATGGATGGGGTTCTGGATGCTTCTCTAAGATTCAGGAACATGAATTGAATCTATTCATTGGCGGGTTTCTACGGCACATTGGTGCCCAATTCATGATACCATGATAAAAACTTCTTCAAACCTGCCCTGCGACACTGCCCTGCGACACTGCCCTGCCCTCTTGTGCTGTGCCGTGCACGATCCGAAACGGAGACCGAGGAGGTCGTCAACCCGGTCCTCCGGTCCCTGCCCGTCGACGGTCGCCGTCGTGGTCGGACCAGAGCGGCCTTCTCTGGTCGGACGTGGAGGTGGGCGAGCCAGTGCAAGGTGCGTCGCATGGTGGAGATCCGGAGCAACGACATCACCTAAAGCCAAGGTTTGTGGTGAACGGAAGAAGCAGTCATTGTTCTTGGTGAAGGTGGGCAGTTTACGGCTCAAGAATTTGAGTCACACATTCAGGAGCCATTTGGTCTGTTGATTGGTAAAAAAGGTAAAATTGGTTAAAAAACAAACCTACCAAAATTGTTTTACAATGTTTTGCATTTCTTTCTTGACCAACAGTCAACAACATTATGATGTCTTTAGGTATTTATCAATCCTGCACAAAGCACCTTTTGAAATTAGATAGTTCCGCTTCACGTGTCAAAAACAACCTCTCATTCCGTGACATGGACGATGTGGATGGTGCCCTTTTGACCCTGCAAACTGCACAATCAAACTCAGTGTCCCGGGAAACAAAGGTTGACTTTTTCGTGCCTTTTCCACCTGTAGGAATTTAGTTGGAAACCAATGCCCCCAAAGAAGGCTTTTGCAGGCTCTGGGTAGGACCCCGTTCTGGCCTGGTGAGTTGTCCAAAAAAAGCACACCGAAACCGCGCCAATCACACGACGTGGGCCTGGTCTCTCATGGCTTGCCACTGGCGTTTTTCCAGCAGCGCCTCGCGCCATCGGCGCAGCGCCATGCGCTGAGCGCCTCAGCCCATGGAATACTCCCAGGATTTGGGGAAGCACCGGGAATCTTCACGTGCCTTCTTTTGCGTGGTGCATCTTGAATCGTGAAAAGACATGCAGCTGGGATCATGTACCGTACCTGTTGATATGGTTGAACTACTGCTGGAGGGGACATGAAGGGACAACTCAACGCAAACGACACAACGCAAAACCACCAGTCGATTGAGATCCTGCAATCACACCTGAACACCATGGAATGCACCATCTATGTCTACTTGTCGTCCCTAGTTGTCTATCTACAGTATGTCTATCTTTGTTTTGTAAAGCCCAAAGTGGCTGGGGAAAGGTAGACCAACTGCCCAAAGTTTGGGGTCCCTTTTCTTCGCGCAGCATAAGCCTAGAGCCAACTGCCTTGCTCTAGCCAGACTCCCAAAGGGAGTCCGATCTAGCCAGCTCTGGGGTCTCCAGCAGGGCCGGAAACGCCGCCGATCGTTCCTGACGGTCGAAGCCATGGTGCATGTCACACGCAGTCGATCGAGGCTGAGAAGTGCGGGACTTTGTTCCTGTCTGGGGTGTGTATTATATATATATATTATTGTTATTATTATTAATATTATTATTATTGTTATTGTTATTGTCAATGTTTTTTATTACTATAATATATAACTATATATAA